ATGGTGCAGTCTCTCTGCTCCTCACCTGTGCATCTCTCATGTTTTGAAACAGATTACATATGATGAATGTAATTTTGCTCATATTTCTGACAGTCTTTGGTCCCTATATGCTACTTCTCATATTTTTGTCTGAAAATGCCATTAATGAGGGATTTGTTCCTGCTCCAAGACCTTTTCTGGAAATGCTACACTGGAAACAACACAACCTGCTATCTCCAACCCCTAATCACCGCACAGCTGCTCACATCTATTGTTCATCTTCTGACACGGCTTCTCATCCAATCCCAGTGACAGCAATCCCTCAAAAACCCTGAAGCCATCCCAGGGAAGGGGATCCCATGAAGAACTGTACCTCGGGCTTGACTGAAAGCACGTGTTTTGAACTGCCACGTTTCTTTCATTGTGCATCAACATACCTCATAAGAACACAGCCAGCAGTCATTGTGGCTGGGGTAAAAATCACATGGAAGAGTAGAGGCACGAATCATGGCCCATAGTCAAGGAACACTGGGACAGAAAGAAGGTGGAGGCTGCAGCTCATTTCAGAATAACAAGGCCCCCGGGCTCTAATGCTCAATTTAGCTGCTCCCGCAAGCCCACGCTGGGTGTCCTTTCCATACGGTGAAGGATGGCATAAAGTATCTTAAGCCAAGCATCAGTGCAGCAAGCCAGGGATCTGCTGGCAAGGCAGGAGACAGGGCTCCCTGCCATGCCAGGGCTTGTCCCCGTCTCCCAGCTCACAGGTGCCAGCCCATCATGGTGAGTGGCCCTCATCCTTCACCTGCCTTGTCTGCTCAGCCAGAGCTGCCTGGGCCTTGCTGTGCCTGCAGGGACAGGGGACAGTGCTTCATGTCCTGGCTCAAAAGGTCTACAAGCTCCCACCAGCCAGGGGACACAGCAGCAATGGCAGAAGGTGATGGAAGGCAGTGCCTCTCCTCATCAGACCTCCTTCTAGGGGGGCAGTGTCCTTGGTGTCAAAGGGGGACTTAGCATCTTGGTGTGTGAGGCAAGTTGTAATGGTCTGCTTTGCCTGTGCGGCTGCGGTTGCAAATACTCTCACTCAAGCCACCTAGCAAGGTCTACGTCCAAAAATCAAGTTACTTTTGCCTTGTTAAGGCTTTTACATCGAGCAGCACTTCAGTTTCTCCAGCAAGCAGGTTTCCAAGCAGGCAGGATCACCTGGAACAAACTGTTTCAATTAGCATTTTACTTATTTATGGAGCTAGCACCACATCCAACGCCTGCGGGTTGCAAAGGAGCCTCCTCCCAGCTCCCCCGCGCCGGCTGTGGGGAGCACTGTGGGTCAGGGTGGAATGGGATTAGGCAGGGATGTGCCCACACTTGTCTGCTTTATTTCCAGAACCATGCTGGAGCTGCACAGCTCCAGATCAGTGTGGGTCACCCAGCTCTGCTATTGGGTCACCTAAGCAGGCTGAAGGCAGGTCTGTGTGTCTGTGTGTCAAGGTGGTAAAACCCTACCCATGCACCTATGTTTCATGTACTGTGGAGTACCAGCTGTGTGATGCAGCTCAGCTCAGTACACACTTCTGTGTTGCAGCCAGTGGCAAGCAAAGTGACACAGCATGGAGCAATGCCTTGAAAGACCAGGACTGGGAGTAAACCCAGCCATCCATTACAACAGGATGAGTTGCCTCGCTTCACTGCCACTGAGAATAAGGAGGAAGTTGTTCCGCCCTTCTCCCCAGAGACGTGGGAAAGCTTTTGGGATCTTCCAGCAGAATATTGCTTTAATCAGCCCAGCTCTATCGAAGAAGTCCCCTCACTGCAGGATCCAGATGCCCTTGGAGGCATCCTCAGCAGAGATGCTCAGAAGGGACTGCTCCATTAGGGCTACCTCTCTGTGCTACAAGATGCTGCTTCATCCAGGGCATCTGGGGCAGGCAGCATCTGGGGCAGACAGCATCAGAGAAATGGCTTAGGCTGAGTGTGAATCATATCCGAACCTAACACAGGCACTCTGCAGGACCAGCACCACTCGTCAGCACCCGTGCCAGGCAACTTTTCTGCAGGGAGATGCATACTTACTCACTGCGCCTGACCTCCAAAACATCTAAGAAACCTGAGCTGCTCCACAACACAGTTGCTGTGGACAGATACTCCAGAATTGATAACCTCTTTCCATAGTTTAGCATCCTCCTTGTCAAACCTATACCATCTCCTCCTCAGCAAGGAGCAACATAAATAACCTTGGGTCACCCCATCTGCTCCTGAATCTGCAACTTTCCCTGGAGATCTGCCACCATCCCAACCGGCCTGCAGACTCCCTGGGGAGGAACCAGTTTTGCTGCCTGTTGGTGAAAAGCCATAGGCACCCCCGTGCCATTATAAAGTCTGCTATAAAGCAGCCATGATCTGAGCACAAGGTCACTGCCTGTGGAAGCGATCATGAGAATTTCTGCTCCCAGTGACAGATCATCACATGAAACAGGACAAAAGGAATATCCAGTTTGCACTGGGAAGTAAATGGGCCATCCATACCACAGGCAGGATAAAGGCAAATGAGAGCTTGGGAGATGGTAGGCAAAGTGCTTCCACTGTGGGCAAGAGCAGGTGAAAAGAAGGACTCCCACAGAGACCATGGGGAGGGAGAGCCCTTCGCCACCAGAAGAGTTTGGCTCAGAGAGCCTGGCAATAGAAAGGCTGAGTGCGGATGTGATCGCAGTCTATAAATACACCCCTGGGAAAACACCAGGGAGGGAAAAGCACCATTTAAACTGAAGGGCACAGAAGCACAAAAGCAAATGGATAAAAACCCAGCCATGAACAGATTTACGGTGGAAGGCCCCGACTACTGGAGGTGCTGAACCCTCTCCCAGAGGGAGTGAGAAGGGCAAAACACCATGAACTAGTCTGTTTTTCAGCAAAGTTCAACCAGTTTATGGAGGGAGCCATAAAGGTTCTGATGCTTGTGACAGCCTGAAAAAGGACTTCAGTGACCATAAGGACTCCTCCTGGTCTCGAGTTAAAATAAAGACCAAAACCACAACTAAATATCTAGGGTGAGCTTGTGGCTCCCTGGTGTTGCAGAGGGAGAGATGTTCATGATGACACACAGGACCAAGCTCATGGAAAATCAGGAGAAGGAATTTGTATTTTGGGAGAGAAGAGGTACAAGTATAGCCTTGTGCCATGACAGCCAGGCCAGCTTCCCTTGCTGGACCACTGACCTGGTGCATCTCCAGCTCCTTCAACAAGCCTTTGATTTCCACAGCTAAGTGAAATGTGCAGGTATAAATCAGGGTAAATCCCATCCTGTCCCCTGCCATCTGACCAATGGGCAGGGGGAAACATTGAGAGGTCCCAAGGTGAAGCCAGTGCCTGGGAAGCGCTCCTTGCTTGAGGAGGCCTTGTGGGGCATGGAGCTCAGCTCAGTGAGCAACTCGACGGTGTCTGAGATACTCTGAAGCAAAGTAGGTGCCTAATTAGAAAAATAAACACACTTCATGTTGTCTCTCCCTCACCTGGTGCCTCTGGGAAGCCAAAACCCCGCAGTGCTCACATGAACGGGAAAAAACCACAAGCCACCAGACCGAGAGGGAGAAAGAGGAAATTCTGCCACACAGATTAGCAACGGGAGAGCCTTTGTAGGTCACATCACATCCATCATCCCTGGGCATGCAGGCTGGCTCCCCTCCACCCTTGCGTACCCCCTCGCCCGGTGCCCGGCAGCCAGCAGGCTCCCGGCGTGGTGTGCTGCTCTGTAAACAAGCTCGGGCAGACGGAGCGTTAATCACGTCCTCAGCTGTCTTGGGGCTCTCCAGCTGCCCCCCGGGTCACAGCACTCAGAGGGGGCATTACCCACACCCCCAGCCGGGAGCACAAGGGCTGCCTCCCCTTTCCCTCCTCATTCCCTCGGCCTGGCACTGCTTTTATTCCATCTTCCCAAAGCCAGCCTGATGTCTCTCCTCCCAGCTCCGGTGCGCATGTGTTTCTCTCCCTGCCCTCCCTTCTCCGCACCCGGCTGAGACCTCAATCTCTCCCCCACCAGCTCTGTGCTGCAGCTCTCACTCCCTTAATCCCAATGACCTTCTTGCACATATGTGCCAGCCCCACAGGCAGCCATGGGATCACAGTCACGGGAAGCAGGAAGGACCTTCCCCCTGGCACCCCGCACCCTCCCCACCACTCTCCTTAGACCCCCCTTTCCATCTGCCCCCTTCCCCAGATATTACAGGGGAGAAAGCATTACAGGGAAAGGAAGTCGGCAGGGTGACAGGATAAGGATAAAAACACAGAGTAACATCCAGCCCTCATCGACCCCCAGCTTGCCCGAGCACAGCCAGAACCTCCCAAGCCTTGACCCACTGAGGACTCACACCAGGACTGCAGCACCACCGCCAGCTCCCCCTGTCACCCCACATCCTGCTGCCTCCCTGTGCCCACCATAAACTCACTGGGCTATATCCATACACACGGATATATTTATATACATAGAGCTGTGTGCACACATATATGTGGCTATACATACGGGCATACATACATATGGAGGTATATAAACCCAGAAATAGATCCATCTATCCAAACATACATGCATATATGTATGGAGATACTGATGGAGGAATATCTGTATTTTTTTCCATGTGTGTGGAGCTAGATGTGTGGATATGTAACGGATATATGCTTATCTATATACATGGATATATATGCATACGTAAAATGTAAAATAATAAATATATAACACATAATAGCATAGTTATAGCACTATATAATATAGAATGTATAATACATAACACAGAATGTATAAGATATAAACCGAATGTATAATATATAAGGATACATAAAGGTATATAAGGATGTATAGCATATAACATAATCTCATGTATACAGACATACGCAGGTACGCAGAAAGGTCAGGGTTGGGGCGAGTAGCAGCTGCCCGCCCAGGAGGGCGCCCCTCGCCCCCCGCAGCCTGGCGGGACATTCCCCGTCCCCCCCGTCCCCCGGTGCCGGTGCGGCCCCCGGTGCCGGCGGGGCCTTACCCAGGAGACGAGCCGCAGGAGGGTCTGCGGCTGCCGGATGAAGGCTTGCGGGTCGAAGGCGCCGCCGGCTTTCCCCGCTCCGAAGGCGCCCCCGTCCATGGCGGGAAGCGGGCGGGGGGCTCGGCAGGCGCTGCCGGGCCGTGCCGAGACGAGCCGAGCCCAGGCGAGTCGAGCCGAAGCGCGCCGAGTTCAGCCGAGCCGTGCCTGGCAGCCCGGCGGCGGCGACGAGCCGCGCGCTCCCGCCCACGGGGCCGCGCCGCGCCGGGAGCGCGCACCCACCCTGTTCCCGCCGGCGGCGGTGTGGTGCGGCATGGGGTGTGCTGGGGGGTGATGGAGACCGGGCAGCTCGCAGCCCCGTCACCCCTCCGCCGCACAGCCCAGACCGAGTGTTTCACCGTTTGCAGCCCCCGTAGGGGTAAGGCTCGACCCCCAGGTGAGACCCGGCTAGCCAAGAGGAGCAGGCAGCCGTGCTCCCCGTCGGGAGCTGCCTGCACCCCCACCGGGCGCCTGCTCCCACTAGAGGGGCCTGCGGAGCCTCAGAATCGCCCTGCAGCAAAGCGTCGGGCACCCATCTCCAACATCCCGCACCTTACTGACATCTCTCGCCCTACAGGCACCATGTCCCTTTGGAGGACACAGCAGGAAAAAGGCCCTTTGCCTTTGAGAATGTGGGGAGTCCAGGTTTTTGGGGGCAGCCGCTGGTTCCTGGAGGCAGAGACTACAAGATGTGCACCTTGCATCCCTGAGGCTGCAGCCCTGGCAGGCACCAGGGTTTCCCCAGTGTCCACAGAACCACCACGGCCACCAGCAGAGCCTGGGAGAAGCCATCCAGCCTTAGGGGTTACTGAAGCGCCTTGGCCTGTGCTTTTTGCTCACTGCCTTCTGCAGAGTCCCCCAGTAACCTGTATTAGTAGGACTGAAATGAAAAGCAAGCCCTTGTGTTGTAACACGGTTCCTTAAGGTCGGCAGCGGAAGCCAAAACCGTTTGGAGTCTGCTTGTCCCCTTCAGCCTGAAGACAACTGAAGGCCAAGTGCTTGCATGCTTCAGCAGAGCAGAGGTGCTCTGCACTACATTTCCAGCGGGCATATCACGGGACATCTTCAGGTCTTCATTATGGAGATACTCAATTCAAACCGGGCAGCACCTTTGCTGGAGACAGCCAGCCCAAGGCCAAGGCAGGAGCAGTGTGAGCACTCTGTAAGGGCTTAGTGCACCAGGACTTCTTTGAAGGGCTCACGTACAAAAGTCCCCACATTGAAAGCTAGATCCCCATGAATTGTGGGGGAGATCAATGAATGAGAAGAGATAAATGAAGAGTGGAGAGGGTTGGTTTTGTGAGATGCGCGTCTGAAATGCTCTGGGGTTCTGGAGAAACAGGGTTTGGACCCGGCCAGACAAGCAAAACTGGCTGCTTCTGCTCTGGACCCAGACAGAGTTCTGGTGCTGCACCCAACCATCAGCACATAGGAGGCTGAGGAAGCAGAATGACTGGGTGGATGGCTCATGTGCTGCTCACCTCCAGGACACACCTATGCAGAGTCAGGTTAGCAGCAAGCCAGCAGAGGGAAGAGCAGTGGAATGGGGAACATGCTTGATCCCCTCTACCACCATTGCATTCTCCCTGAGCCTCAATCCATTTTCTTGGCAGAGCCTATGAATGGGCTCCACAACCCAAGAACATAGTGCAGGAGCTAGAGGCAAATGCAAGGGGAGATAAAGAGCATTTAAATTTCACCCTTTGTCACACATTAGGAGTAGCACCCTAAAAAGTGAGCAGCCATTCTTCGTCCTTTCTGAGGCAGCTTCTGAGGGGCAGGTGGAGGCAGGGGACGGACACCCCTCCATCACATCCACCCGGAATAAAAGAATAGTTTGGGCTAGAGGGGACATTTAAAGGTCACCTAGTCCACCCCCCTGTACAGCTTCCCTTGCAATGAACAGGGGCATCTTTAAACAGATCAGATTGCTCAGAGCCTGACCAATCTGACCTTGACTGTTTGCAGGGATGGGGCAGGTCTGTTTTGGGAAGATGAGCTGGAACGCCAGCACAGCTGGACCCTCAGCCCTCCAGTTCGTATCTGTTCCCTTCCCACTGTCATCCAGGTTAGGGCAGGCAATTAAATGTCCTCCTAAAAAACACCTCTCGATCTTGCATGGGCTTTTTCATGCAGGTTTGAACAGAGTCCCTCCAGCAAGGCCTCCAGCCCTGGGTTTAACTTAACCTGCAAGGACCAGAGCAGGGCATGGGAGGTGAAAGGTCTGCGAGTTGATTAAGCATGTTTAACACTTGCATATGCTCTTCTTAATTGCTTCATGCTAGCCATGTAACCATCCTCCCTGCACTGAATGCCTTAGCTGTTACACTGCTGCAGCTGGTGGCAGGATTTGGCTCCATAGGTAGGTATTTGCTCAAACTGTTTAATTAATGTTTGCAGTAACTCAACACAACCATAATGTACAGCACTTACATCATATGTTACAGGTCAGCATCCCTACTGGGGGAATTGGGATGGCTTCTGCATGGTGCAGCAGTCCCTGGCAGGGAGGGAGGAGGCAGGGCAGGAGATATCCTTGGCAGCACCAACCTCCCCACGGTGTTGTGTTTGTCAAACACATCCTTTCTGGCAGCCCCAGGAGATCCTGAGGGCAAACTCTGGAAGGTCCAGCCCACTCAGCTCAGGGTACCATCATCTTTCTGGCCTTGGGTTTGCATCCCCTCTCATACCACAGGCAGAGGTGCATTAAGGCCCATGTTCCTTATAAAAACACAAAAGATCTACTTACCCTCTGGATGTGGTGGATATTACTATTCAGCAGTTTGGCTATTTTCCACAGGTAACCTTGTGGCTATATCTATCGCCACCTCAGCCACCCCTTGGCTTCATCAGCTTCCTCACTTTGCTTGTGTCCTGCATCCTCACCACAGCCAGAGGCTGTAGGCAGCAGGACGTGGCCATCATCTGTGCTGGCTGGGCTCTTACCAGCCATATGATGCCTGATGCTGTGCCAGTTACTGGAAGCCTGGGTTCAGCCCATGGTACCTCAGCTGAGCTGCTCAGATTGACCTGGGGTGGATAAAGACACACACACACACTTCAGAGGTGGCTCTGGTCCAGGTCCTTCATGGCAGTCCTCCTTCCCCCTCCTCAGCTACAAGCTGTGGAATTCCTGGCTGAGCACCAAAGCTGCTTCAAGGGGCATTTCAGCCAGAACTATGCATCCTATCTGGCTGAACATGAGCCAGCTTCTGCCCAGGCAGCCAACAAGGCCAACAGCATCCTGGCCTGTATCAGCAATAGTGTGGCAGCAGGGCCAGGGCAGTGATCAGCCCCCTGTGCTGGGCACTGGTGAGGCTGCACCTCAAACACTGTGCTCAGTTCTGGACCACTCACTACAAGAGAGACATTGAGGTGTTAGAGCGGGTCCAGAGAAGAGCAGCAAAGCTGATGAAAGGTCTGGAGCACAAGTGTGATGGGGAATGGCTGAGGGACCTGTGGGGGTTTAGTCCGGAGAAGGCTCAGGGGGACCTTATCGCTCTCTACAACTGCCTGAAAGGAGGATGGAGAGAGGTGGGGTCGGTCTCTTCTCCCAAGTAACAAGTGACAGGACAAGAGGAACTGGCCTCAAGCTGCTCAAGGGCAGGTTTAGACTGGATATTAGGAACAATTTCTTCACAGAGAAGGTGCTCAGGCATTGTAACAGGCTGCCCAGGGCAGCAGTGGAATCACCATCCCTGAAAGTGTTCAAAAACCCTGTAGATATGGATACCTTAGTGACATGGAGTTGGCAGTCCTGGGGTAACAGTTGTGCTTGGTGATCTTAAAGATCTTTTCCAATCTAGCTGATTCTATGATCAGTTATCCTGCAAGGATGCTCATACAGTTCCCAATCCAGGGAAGCTTAAGGGAGCTTCTTCAGCTGTATCCTATCTGATTTCCTGGTGTCAGTGGAGGGGAAGTGAATAATTTATCTACTGTGCCCCTTTACCTTCCCTGCTCAGGTTTCACCTCAGCTCTGCTTCACCCCTTCCCTGAACAGCTGCTCTGGTGCCAGCTCCCGTGCTGGTGAGCTCCAGCCAGCCAGTGTATCCGGAGCCACGGCTGGCACTGCTGATGCTTACCCATGTTCTGGAACAATGGGAAGCGAAGCAAGAGAAATGACAGTGTGGATAACAACAGCCCCAGACAGCTTGCACAGGAAGTTTGGTTTGCAGCTCCTCTCTCACAGCATAACCTGAGCATTGCCATTGTTTTTATTGTTCATTATTAACTCAGCAGGAGCACACAGAGGCCCTGACTGAGTTTGGCGCTGTGCTGTACCAAGCACTGTGGGGATACGCAGCAGGGCACAGCCCCTGAACAACACACAATTGGCCTGAGATCACGTCCCTGCGTCATAGAAGTTATTTCTCTATGTTGAAACACATGTGATAGTAATGGCTGCGAGTGCCAGCAGTGAAACCTATTTTATCTTATTCATTCTTTCTTGTTACTGCATTTCTTTACATTGCATAACATCTCTTACAAACTGCAATGAATATTTATCAGGCCTCAGGGGTCATTACAGCTTCCTCTGGCTCCGGAGCTCCACGATAAAACCGTGTCAACACCACATCGGGATGCTCCATTGTGACAGATACTCCCTGCTTGGAACAAGCCCGTTATTTCCATGGAAAGAGCACATCAAGCCTATTTGAGGAGAAGCACTGCCGTGGGACACACTGACATTATATACATCTGAACCATGGCTATGTCATGGGTTTGCGCAGCGCATACGATTTTCCCGCGCAACCGCAGCCCGCACCCTTTTTGGCCCCGCTCCGTACCCGTAGCGCCGCGCGCTCAGTCTCCCGTAGCCGCTCTCGCGAGGCCATGCGCAGAAGGCATGCGTCACCCGGGGGCGGGGCGACTATTAAAGCCGCTCGCGCGGCAACTTCCGGCCCTTCCGGCTCAGCGCGGGGACAAGATGGTGGGTGCTGCTGACGGCGGCGCTGACCGGGCCCGGCCGCGCCATCCCTTGGGCATCGCCGCCATCCCGCCACCGGCGGGTGCCCGGCCGTGACTCCGCCTTCTCCGGACATTTCGGGAGGCGCTGCGGGGCTCATTTGAGGGCTCGGCCGCGGCAGGCGCCGGGGGCGGCGGACGTTTTGCCTTAGAGAAGCCGGCCGGGCCTGCTCGGAGGCGCTGGGGTGTGGGTAGCCTTGTGGCGGGGTTTGCTGTTCCCGTTCTTAAGAAGGGGGCTGCGC